CTTACACTTACCTAATTTTATACACATATGGAATAATTGCAAATCCATATAAACAGCTTAATGTTGATGCTCTGAGGTAAACTTACAACAGGAGGGCTAATTTAGACAAAAGCAATTCTTATAAGACAACCATTTGTGAAATTATTCTCCGAATGACTAGGACTTTTCTAGTGCATCTGCCCTATCGTCCTGTATGCAGACTGCCTAAATACTCAAGGTGAATAATTAAGGCAATTATCCCAATAATTCAGGCCACACAGCATTCAGAACAAAGAAAAAAAATATCTGATATTTTTGTTTTTTTCTTTTTTTCCTTTCCTCCCTCTCTCTTCTTCCCTCCCTTCCTCTCTCTGTCTCCTCCTTTTCTTTTCTTTTTCTTTCTTTTTTCTTTTTTCTTTTCTTTCTCCTTCCTTCCTTCCTTCTATCCTTCCTTTTTGTTTGTAATTCCCTCCAATTTCTCCTTTTTCATGAGTGGCCATAGCCTTTGGTAACAAGATTGATTTTATTAGTATTTGTTGTAAGTGTTGTAACCCTGCTTGACAGTTCTTGCTTAATGTGGAAACCGAGAAAACGTTCTGCTTGAGCTGGGCTTCATTTCCAGTCATCTGACTCAGATCAGCTCTCAGGCCATTGCTGTCATTCTCAGAGAGTCCTTTACTGGTGCACACGCAGCCCATCTCTCAGCCTAGGCTCTGGCTGCTCTGGCAAAGAATGAAAACTGAATCAAGGTCATGACTTTCTGAATTTCTTAAGATCCAAGGTAACTCACTGAGCCTCTTGCTTACTCCTCAAATAGACCCTGCGTCTGACACACACGCATGAACCTCCAGGGGGATATTCATAATCAAGCAAGGACATGGGAGGAACTCATACTGAGAAACAGGCTTCTTAGGAGAAAGTCTTCTGTTTTATCAACCGGTAAAAAGCCATTTCCTCCCCAGAATGACCTAGAGGACACATATTAGAAGAAATGGATTCCCATGAGCACTAAAAAATATTAATCAAGTCTGTTTCTCACTTAGGCCCAGCTATTTCAGACTTACTGGAAAGCCCTGTATTGTCTCATCCTATTTCTCCATACACAGGCTTTTCCTGAAATACAGCTAATTGACTGGTGTTGAAAACCATCATGAGCTGAGGCTGTGCATACCCAGGCTGGGAGACACTTTGGGTCTGCAGCAGTCTAGGCTGAAGTCCTCAAGGCAATGCTCTAGTTATCTTTGTGACATGGTTTGCTGTCATTTCCAATGACCCATGGCCTTGGGGGTTGTTCTTCAAAACATCTTTTCTGTTACATGGGTGATGTTCCTGCTCAATACGTTTATTAGTAAACTTTGGAAGAAGAAAACTAGTGTAGAATATTCCACCTTACACATTGATTTGGCTGCTAAAATGTTCCATATATGATACATATTATTAAAAATCAAGTCACATTTATAATAATCAGAAGTGCTGGTCATTAAAAGGAATACTTCTCTAGACCTTTGCAAAGCAAACGATCATTTTGTAAAGGCAGTGAACACTTGATAATTTATCTTTTCAGTAAATTCTTACTTTCATGACATACCCATGATCACTACCGAAATGCATGCAAAAGCAAGGGATGGTTTGGGTGGGAAAAGTGGGACAATTATCCTACACACACACACACACACACACACACACACACACACACACTACACATACAACATACATATGCACACACTCACTCATGTACACACCACACACACACACACACATACACAGTGATTTTCCTCAATTATCTTTTTTTTTTCTGTTGAAAATAATTTGGGGGCCTGAAATCCTGAGAATTACTTCAATTTTCCAGTTTGAATGTGTATAGATGACAGAACCCAAGTTCCTCAATACATTATCAAGTTCCTGCCTTGTTTGGAGTGTTCTTTTTTCAATTCTTTTTTTTTCCCCTTCTGTTCCAATCCTTACATATCATGTAGAGAAGGCCTGGAATTCATGCTTGGGAAAAGGCAAAATGTGATAAAAATCGAGATGCTCATTAAACTCCACAGCATTAACATTTTCAACACCCCCAGGAGGATTTACTACATTTTCTCCTTAATGTGGGAGCATGTGATTTCCACATTTGCTATATTTTCTGGGTTTTAAATTCTCTATTACTTTACTCTGGCTTTCCTTTTTAAAGTATAAAATGCCAACTTTTTCGATTTAACTTCTTTTGTTCAAAATCTCTGTGACCATACTAATATATAGATTTAGATAGTACACTTATAGAATGTGTCTCGAACTTCTTTCAATTTCAATGCAATAACTGATTTTTAACAGTAAAAACATGCATGGCTTTTCATAGCCATGGAGGTAAAATACTGACTCATTATTAAAATTTAATTTATGAGCATTTTCCTTAAGATAAAGTCCCTAAACTTTATGCAGTTCTCCTGCTCGATTCAACATTTACCTATCTTCCTACTATGTGAAAATAACTATGCAAAAGTATCTTAAATGATAAAGAGAGGAATAAGGTATAGACAGTCCCAGCCTTCAAGGAGCTCCAATGGAGGAGACATGTAAGCCACAAATTGGAGAATATCCTAGAATGGAATTCTGTCCATAGCACAAAAAAGGGAACAATTACATTGATTTTTTTAAAAAAGATCTGGATGCCTTTGCAGAACAGGGAAATCTGTATTGTAGCATGAGAGCTACAAACAATAAGCTTGGTTAAACCGTGAGGAGAAAGGTACTGCAGACTGAGAGGTTTGCTTTGACTTCTCCTATGAATTTTTTCAGTTAATGATCAATTTGTAAGAGCAAATATACCAATTTAACCATGGTTTTTGACAACTATCTTTTAAAATGAATTGCATTGCCTTCATTTAGATGTATTTTAAAAAACGTTTTAAGAAGAAAAAAAAAAATCTTTCCTCTGGCTTTTCTCTGTCTCTCTCTTAAACTTGCTTTTTCTACAAGAATACAGTTGCCTAAGTCAGCCAGGCTTTCCCAACAAACTGGGTTGTTGTTAAATCTGTTTAAATTACTGTGGTTTCTTGTATCTTTTATCTTAGATTTCAATTGAAATACATGAGTTCAGCATCAATGCTAATAAATGAAAACCTGATCTCATTATCACGCTATATCATTTTTTAAAGCAGCACTGCAGCTTTCATTTTTTCTGTGTGCTGTGAGCCACTTATTTTTCATTCCCCTTTAAAGCTTCTATTTAAACACACCTCTTTGTCATATGCTGATAAATATTAAAATAACAGGAAAAATCTGCCTGACTTATTTAAGCTGATAATAAAAACAAAACACAGGATGTGTGTGTCCTCCTTCCTTTTTTGACTGTGGTTAAGCATTAAGAAGGTTTTGAAACCTATAATTATGTAATAATTGGTATCGCTACATTCTCTGCTCAATGAAAAGTCAGGATTTTTGGAGTTTGCCACAAAGACAGACAAAAACAAATTGCCTAAGTGGTATTGTCATCTCTTTGCTCCATTGTTTTAAAAGAATTTAGCAAAAGACTCTGTACTTGCCAAGCTGTAGTGCCAATAATCACAACGTGATCTTTCCAACAGCGTCTTTGGCTAATGAGCTAATTTATAGAACCATAAATATCACATATTCTCCTGATGTTTGTCAGTATTTATTACAAGAAAAAGAAAACATAGCTTAAATATTCGATTTGTTGTCAAAACCATCTTAGTAAATTTGGCTAATAGAAATGGTAGTGATGGTGTCTCACAAGTGGGCCAAGATGATGAAATGACAGGAGTTTCGAAACCACCCCCTTTGATCTCTAGCACGTAACACCAGTTACATGTTCAAACGCTCTAGTTATTTCGTTTCGTTTTATAAAACTTCTAAAGGACATAGTACATCAGCACACCACATTTTTAAAGTCCATGGATAGAGTACCATTTTCTTCTATTTCATATCATGGGGCTCTAGAGGTAAACTTGACTTTGCTTAATATCTTCCTTTTACTTTTATTCTTGTTCTCAATATTTTCTCACAAACATATGTTTTAAAGCATGTACCATTCATACTTCAAACGCCAGTGAGCCAATGGAACCTACTGCCTTTGTTCTCTTCTTTTAAAAGTTGGACTTTTGTATTATTTCTGTTATATGTATGGCCATCATATCAGCAAGAAAACACAACATCCGAGCATGGAAGATCATAAGAATAAAGCGAAGAGAAACAGAAACCTATGAGGCAACATTAGGTGTTAGATGATCTCAGCGTGAGTTCATCTTACTGTTTGTCCTGTGGCTCTACTCAAATCCACTGCCATACTAGTGGGACAGATTAAAGAGGAAAAACTGCATTTTGCACTTTCAAAAATGCCATCTAACTGGTTGCATCTTATGGCAAGAAGAATTTTATGTCCAACGCGTCTCCAAGATGTTCCTTCAAGGTGGCCCTTCCTCTCTACAGCTCTCAACTCCACATGAAAAGCGTATGCACAGTACTAAAAAAATGAGAGGTTAGGTTTCTCTTGCAAAAAACACCTTTGAGGAACAAAGTTGGATGACCTCCAAAAGAAATGATTTGTGACCTGGAAACAGCCTTTGGTTTCACACCTGGAAAGGATGTAGATTCAACTGGGATGTATAGTTGACACTAAGAGGAAAACCACTAACATTCACCATGGGGCCCTCAGGCCAATGTGGGAGCACCTGGGACCTTTGAGGTTAGCTCTCCTGGAGTTCACTGGGGCCGGCAAGCTGAGGTCATAGTTGCACTCCTGCTCTTGTTCTGGGAAGGAGCATGACCACACATCCATCACATTCTGAAAGCCGAGGCATGCACAGGATGGGAAAATTATTTCACACTGCTTTTCGTTTGGTTTCACGTGGAGTGAAGTAAAGCTCCAGCCTGCCTTTGAAAAGTCACCAAGAGACCTACCTATTTGGAGGGCCGTGATGTGCAAACAAGTGCTATTATTCTACAAAAGGTTCTGGAAAAGAGGCACATTTGTTGTTTTGAAACATGGAGATAAGCCTCATGACACGGCTTACCTGGCAGGTTGACTCTGGAGACAGATGGCTGACTAGCAGCTGGAGACCTCCTGTGGAGAGGGAGAGAAAGGAAGGTCTGAGTCTCTGTATGAATACCCCTCCCTGCACCCCCATGATCCCTAAGAAGTTTTCCAGGTCAGAATGAGCTACCTAGTGACATCATGCTATCTCTAGAAGGCGGGCTCCTGTAACTCGTGGGTGACTGCAATTCTCACATCCAGATGGCCTGGAATTTCCCTATGCTGTACAGCCTCCTGGATGCTGCAGCACTCCAGGAAGGAAGTCATTTACTCCAGGTCCCTAACCAGTCCTTCTGCTTTAGGCTTCCCTGCCCCAGGAGGCTCTCCAAAGATGATACCCTTGCTCAGAAATTACACCAAATATAAGCATGAATCACAACTCCTTTGGGCAGTGCTATAGAAAGTTACAGCCAGAGGAGCCCTTGGAGATTAATCAGTCCAGGTCTCCCACTTTTGCACCTCAGAAATCTGAGACCCAGAGAGATGAAATCACTCGCCAAAGGTCACATAGCCATTAGGAACAGCAATCTAGGTGGCCTAACTTATGGAAGAGGCTTTTCATGGTCGAACTGAGCATTATTCTACATCACAAAGCAAGTCAAGTGAAACAAGCAAACAAACTCATGCTCCACAAATATTAGGGTTCCTTCTCCTTTTCTTTCTTGTTTTTCTTTCTTCCTTCTTTATCTTTTTTACCCCCCTCCCCCCAAAACCCTGATTTTCATTGCTGCTCTTGTCATCCTTCTCATGCTCTGCCAGACTCTCCAGGATTCAGGGTGCATTGCTAGAGAGCCTCCCAGAAACAGGATAGAGCAGTGGTCCTCAAACTTTAGGGTGCAGAGAATCACCTGCAGAGTTTATTAAGACACACTGATGAACCTTACTTCCAGGGTTTCTGATTCAGTCTGCCTGGGGTGGGCTTGAGAGTTTGCATTTCTAACTAATGCCACGTGGTGCTGATGCTGCTGATCTGGGGGCCACATTCCAGAGCCATTGGTATAGAGGGCTGTCTGCCCCACTAAAGAGCAATCAGGATATTAGCCGTGAGCAAGAGAGTGACACTCCAGGCCAATGGGTCTCAAACATGGACGCCATTTGATCACTTGGGGAGCTATTGAGAATATGATTCCCTTCTCCATCCCTGGAGGGTCTATTTCAGGGTATCTGGGACAAGGCATGAGAATCTGTAACTTTACTATTGCTCTGTGAATTCTGATGCACAGGCAAGGTTGGGAAGGAAGCCAAGTTCTAAATGGGCTGCAAAGGGGTTGAAAAGGAAGGTTTTCCCTACTGGTGTGGCCACAAAATTACTTTCCTAGATTTAAAGTATTCCAAATCCATTTTTGGTCCCTTAGGTGTAATATAGCTTCAAGCTAAAAATATTATTGTTGCAGGGTCTGATTGACAGGGTTCATATTTATCACTCATTTACTAGCTGGGTGATTCTAGGCAAGGTACTTTTATTTTTTTAATTTTTTTATTTTTTATTTTTTGCGGTACACGGGCCTCTCACTGATGTGGCCTCTCCCATCGCGGAGCACAGGCTCCGGACGCGCAGGCCCAGTGGCCATGGCTCACGGGCCCAGCCGCTCTGCGGCATGTGGGATCCTCCCGCGTCGGGGCACGAACTCGTGTCCCCTGCATTGGCAGGCGGACTCTCAACCACTGCGCCACCAGGGAAGCCCTAGACAAGGTACTTTTAAACTCTGTGGCATGAAATTTTCATGTATGATGTAGGGGAGGAAATTTTCTCTACCTTCTAGGTTCTTTTGGCTGGTCTATTGATTAAATTGACATAAGACAGATTAACAGGTGACAAATTTAACTACATACTTAAGGGAGCCTCATAAGAATATGAGACCCAAGGGCAAGTCAAGCAGTTGGAACTTATCTGTCATCCTGAGCTAAGGAATGGAACAGGAGCCTAGGGCTTCAAAGCTTAGGAGGGTCGTTCACCAGACAATGAGAAGAGAGGATGATTTGTAATTAGACGTTTGCTCTGCCATACAGATGGGTCATTCAGATAAAAGTTATCTGTGATATTAGCTCTGTCTCTCTCTCAGCCAGGCCCCCAACTACAATTATTTTAGGTAGTTGAAGGAGAGGTAAAAGTTTTTCTCCAGTCTGCTGGGTCTTGATAGCCTTCAGCTCGAAATAATGCACGTGCCCAAGTGGCATATTTTGGGATCACACATTCTGCTCTCCTGCGGTGACAAGCAAAGGGAAATTGCCATCCAATGTGTGCTTTTCTCTGCTAGGCACTGTGCTGCTAGGCACTGTGCTGGGTACTTCTTAGCTTCCATTGAGAGTATCATCATCTCACTTTAAGGATAAGGAAACTGAAGCTCAGAGAAGTTAAGAAATATGCTGAAGCACACATGGCTTATAACAGCAAGGTCAGGATTCAAAGCTAAGTCTTTCTGAATCCAAAGTGCATTTTCTTTGTACTATCCCATCTGCTGATAACACCTGCACTAATGCTGAGGGCTGTTTTTCAGAAATAATTAAGAGATTAAATTCCAAACTCCTTAGCCTGGCATTCAAAGTCTGCTCTTTGGCCTCAACATATGCTTTTATATGTCAACCACTCAGTAAATACTTATTGAATGGAAGAATGAATGAATGAATGAGGGAAAGAACTAACTCATACTTTGCCAAGGCCAAACTTGATCACTTCCTTTTTCTTGAACATGTGCTCTTCCTTTCCTGACGCTGCTCAGGCCGTTCTTCTGTGAAGGAAGCTTTCCTCTCACAAATCTGTACATTTAAGTATCACCTCCATTTTATAACATTGCCAGTTATGGTAAGAAATATACATATATATTTGGCCTTTGGCTCCATTTTTGGCACAGAGCTCCTAAAATCCTTGGAGCTTCCTAAGTGAGGAAAGCAATCAAGGTGTCTTTTGCTATGTTAATGAGGTGACTTTCCGACCAGCAACTACATAACCTAAGGAGGGGGTTGCCAGGGGACAACACCATGTGATTAGAGAGTTTGAGCCTTAGGCCCACCCTGAACCTCTGGGGAGGGGGGAGAGCCTGGAGATTGCGTTCAGTCACCAATGGCCAATGATTTAATCAATCATGCCTTTGTAACAAAGCCTTGATAAAAACTCAAAAAGACTGGGTTGGTGAACACGTGGAGATTCAGAGATTCACTTGGAGAGCGTGAAAGCTCTGCGCTCCTTCCCCCAGCACCCTCTTCTTTGTTCTCTGCATCTCTTCCATCTGGCTGTTCCTGAGTCATATCCTTTTATAGTAAACCAGTGATCTAGTAAGTAAAATGTTTCTCTGGGTTCTGTGAGCCCCTCTAGCAAGTTCACTGAACCCAAGGAAGGGCTTGTGGGAAGCTCCAACCTCTAGCCAGTGGGTCAGAAGCCCCGGCAAGAGCCTGGGCTTTCCACTGGTTCCCCAGTGTGTGTAGTGGGAGAGGGGTGTGTGTGGGAGGGGCAGTCTTGTAGGACTGAGCACTTAACCCACGGGAGTAAATAGAGGAAGGGAGCTCTGACCACAGATAAGTATAGTATGAACTAGGTATGGTAGACAGGGAGGAACCCAGCAAAGTCTGTTTGTTAAAATTCCATTCTATGTGCCATTGTCTGTCTCCACATGGTCCGGCAAACATTTATTTACCAAACATTTGCTTTTCCACTTCCACGTCAATTGCCTTCCTTCCTTTTCAAGTCCCAAACCCCTACCCCACAATATCCTCTTTGGTCTATTAGCTGAAAATGGTGTTTAAGGTGAGGGTTTCAGCCACTTCGTCCAGTTACTTAGTTTTCCTGGGCCTCTCCCATGTATACATGCTATTAAACTTCTGTTTGTCTTTCTCCTACTAATCTGTCTCATGTCCACTTAGTTCTTAGACCAGCCAGAATAACCTAGAAGGAAAGAGGAAAATTTCTTCCTTCCCGAAAAGGAAGCTAAAAAAACGGTTCCTCCTCTAATCTCGCAGCGTGCTTCATCTGTACCTTCAGGGTTATTTCCTCATGTTACAACTCATATGGCCATGGACTGTCCCCTCCCCTCATCAATGACCCATTGATGGTGGGCTCCAGTGCTGACCCCTTTCACGTGCCCTCTGCAGGACCTCCCAGCTTGCCTCGCGTCAAGTAGGAACTCCATAAATGTTGGTAAACTGTCGACTGAATGAACCATTGATGTGAAAATGATTTGAGAAGCCAAATACCACATGAATGTTTTATCTGGTTTCCCTCTCCTCTATAGTCTTGGTTTTACATACTCCCCACTGTCCCTCAGACTCAGAATATGTTTGTGTTGCTGGGCCCTTTGCTCATCTGACCACTTTTCTCCTCCTGTTTAAGCAGCAAACTCCTTCACAGGTTCCAGGACTGCACTCCGGCATCACCTCAGAGGATCCTTCCCTCCTGTGACTAGTCACTGGGCTACCTGTACTTTCCTATGCCCCACCCTAGCGCTGCTCTTACTGCATTACAATTCCCGTTCTCTTGTCTGTCTCAACTAGGCTGTGAGAAATTTAAACAAAGACTGAATCTCATTCATCTTTGTAACCTTGTAATTGGCAAAGTATTTGGTACGATATAGGTAGTCAATAGCTGTTGATTCGATTGATAATATATTTTTTAATACTTGTATTTTAACTATCTTCCTGAGTTCCAAAGAAGACTTCTGTGAAAGGAGACATAGAACCAAGAGACCCTCAATATTGGAAATCTCTGCTTTCTTTTTATTTTTGCTGTACGCGGGCCTCTCACTGTTGTGACCTCTTCCGTTGCGGAGCACAGGCTCCGGACGCGCAGGCTCAGCGGCCATGGCTCACGGGCCCAGCCGCTCCGCGGCATGTGGGATCTTCCCGGACCGGGACACGAACCCGCGTCCCCTGCATCGGCAGGCTGACTCTCAACCACTGCGCCACCAGGGAAGCCCCAACCTCTGCTTTCTTAATGGCACAGCGACACATAGCACCTGATCCTCCCAATGACTTCTAAAAAATTACACAATTTACATAAACTCCTTTGTCCCAGGAGTTATTCTGAAAATATAACTTTT